ACATTGGCACGTAGTGATTTCCTTCATTAATCTTAAAGTCAACAATGTGTAAAGAAAAATTATATCTATATATATATGATACTATTAGAGAAAGAAAAATGATATATATGAATCTATTAGAGAGGGATTGAAAATTCTTTAACCATGTCTGATTTTTAAGACGCTTGAAGAATAAAAGTTGTAAAACAAAAAATAAAAAATTCTCATTCTTAATATAATAAAATTACCTGTCACTTGAAAAATAGACATCCAATTTAAGACGAAAGAGTATTAATTATGTAAAAAAAAAAAAAGTAAAAAATGAAAAAAAATTATGTAATTAAATAAATAAATTTGGGTCAAAATTTTAAAAATTTTCTTAAATTTTATCGCTCTACTTAAGTAATTTTTATATTTTTATTGCACCTAAATAAATTTATATATTTTAATTTGTATTCAAATAAACTTTAATTTCAAGTTAATTACTGTAATTTTTCTAGTTCTTTTTAATTATATAAAAATTAATTTTATATATAAAAAAAAGTTTTACTTAAAGCATTTGTAGTTGTGTGAAATTGATGTCTTACATGCATTATATATTATGTTAATGGCTTATTTAGATATGAATTAAAAGTTAAAAGTTTATTCATATAAAAATTAATGGTCAAAAATTTATTTAAATATTAATTAAAAATTAAAAATTTATTCAAATATAAAAAAAATATCTAAATAAAATAGTAAAATTCAAAACCTTTTTTTTATTATTTTAACCATGAATTTGCGATCACTCCATGTGATATGTGCCACCGTATCAATAATACAACATCAAACCTGACAAAAGAAATACAAAGTTGGACAAACTTAAAAAGTGCAATTGTCTTTGTCTAGTAAAGAAGCATTAAGAATGACATAAGTACTTAGGTTCGAACCCAAGTTACCTCCTCTCTTTTCTTATATAATTTAGGTTGTTAATAATTTTATTTTAATCGAATTAATCAGTTGAATCGATTTAATTCAATTAATCGATCGATTATTGAATTAATTTCAATCTATTATCGAAAATAATTTTTAAAAAATTTAAAATTTTTTGTTAATTCGAAAATCAAATTAATTAAAATATTATAAAACCTATATATAAAACTAAAAATATATTAAATTGTCCACTTTATTTCAACTCATTAGAGTTTTTAACTAAATAATTTTGTGTTTGAATATTTTTATTGAATGATTTTATTTAATTTATTTCATATATGAGAAAATAAAATTTTAAAATATAATTTAACTTAATGTATTTTATTATTTTGTTAATCAAAAAAATTAACTGAACTGACCAAATTAATTTTGATCTGTTAAGTTTCAAAATTAAAAAAATTAAAAAATTTGGATCGGTTAATAAAAATAAAATAAAATAATTTAATTTTAAATAATTTAATTCAAAATTAATAGAATAAACAAAATGGACACCCTTACATATAATAAAACTTTACCCTCTTATTAAAAAAAAAAAAAAAAAGCAACTGTTACCATTAATTATTAAGTATAAATATATTTTTTTATTTTGGCCAATGAATTAAAATTAAGTTTATGAAGATGTTGGCAAATAAATTTTGGCTTGACGATAAAGAAGAGCTTCTCAAACTGAAGTTTCATGTTTAAGTCTTACTATGTATAAATTAAATAGTTGTTTGCCTTAGCTTACGGTGGAGTTTATCAACTGCAAAAAGAGAAGCACTTCTATATTAAATTTGTCAAATGTTATTTTAGTTTTTCAGTTCCAATCTTGATATTTGATTTTGAGGAAGACAATTAATATGAATTTTACTTATTTTCTTCATATGTAAACTACTATATATATATATATATATATGTTATTAATATAAATATATATACAAGAAATAAACTAAAAATAACTTACAAAATTATAAATTTTATCAATTCATAAACAAATATATAAAGAAACATAATACATCAAATAAACCATTTTACTTAAAATTGTGAATGATTTTAAAAAACACAAATAAACCAATTGCTAAATAATTTATTTTTATCAAAACAAGAAAAATAAAATTAAAACTTTGAGATTGAAGTAAATAATTTTTTAACCTTTTAAAAAGCTATTCAAATCTAACTTTTGTGTTTAAAAAAAACTTTGCATTATAACAGGAGAAAAAATTTAAAATAAAATTAAAAGTGAAGAGTATGAGAGAGGAGTTGCGGTTGATTAAAAAAACATTTTTGATATTTAATTGTTGATTTGAACTTTTATGAAGAAACTAAAATGTCAATTTGATTTCGTTAAATAGACATAATTATGATTGGAAGTGATATATGCTTCCTAATTCTTATAACAAATCTCTTAATTTTAAAGATTTGTAAATAATAATTAATTGGTATAACAAATAAACAAATGATAATATGATTTTAAATCCCATAAAATTATAATGCATAAGATAAGGATGCACCCATGACCATAAACACTAAAGCAAAGCTAAGGTAATAAAATTCATGATATGACTCTTAGTAGATCAACGGATTTTATCTTCCAAAAAAACATCTTTATAATATTTTTTAATTGATCTTCGGCAAATATGCCACTTGGATTTCAAATTATTATTAGTTGATTTAACTGAGTCAATTTAATATAATGCATTCATATCGAAAACAAAGCTTATAAATTTTTCGATTCCCTTAACAAATTTTATTATAACCATTCATCTCTGCCTCATGTTACTGAGAGTTTTAAAAATTTGTGGGGAGCTAAGGCCCCATCTGGTTTGTATAAGGATGCGCCCCTGTTTTTCTTTATTGCATTTTAGATTAGTTTTACACGAACAATACTTTTTATAGAGGCTTTGAGTGAGTCAAACAAACGTCAGCTACTGAATTTATCCAATTAGATATCGATTTATTTATTAGATAGTTTTAAATTATGAAGGTAATATTTGCTTATGATTATAATTTTTTTATTTGTAAATTTGTCAATTATTTTTAAATTAATTTTAAAATATCAACTATACAAAAGTTACTATAGAGATATATGTTTCAAAATTTTAGAAGATCCGTGGAAAAACCTATCCTTGCCCAAAGATGGACGAAAAGAAGTAACTATTGAAAAGGAATGGATTGAGAACAAGTTAGCTGTGGGTAAAAACTGTCTGACTGGTAAGTTGTCGGTGAAGAAATCAGTAAATGTTGAGGCAATCAAAGCGGTGTTTTACAAAGTCACCGTACTCTTCATTCGTGCTATGGGTGAGCAGATCTATATGATCCAGTTTGATGACTTATGGAGATGGAAAAAGCTCTATTGATGCAACTGGTTAAAATTTTAACCAAATCATTGATTTTAAAAGGATTTTGATGGATTTTCTTTGCCAAAATCCGTCAGCATGGAAACTATTGTTGTTCTGATTTCGACAATGGAAGGTGGTACCCAATCAACAATGATTCGACCGAGTGAAAACTTGGAAAAAAGTTCGAGGAAAAGAGAGGAATGAAAACGACTATTTGATTGAACAAGGATTTATTGATCGAGAATCCCCCAAGTTCAATCAACACTGCCATGGGTTGATTGAAGCTATGTTTTGTTTTTTTTGTCCAAATTTGAACGTAGCACACAACGTGACTTAATTGAGAGAAAAAATACATTATCTCAAATTTAATACTATCTAGTACTTCTTATAGGAGTTTGTTTTTAATATATATCACCTTTAAATTTCATTAATAGAGTTAAGAGTGTAATAACGTACTTTTTGTTATATTTATTTTTTAGATCTTGTTAACTTTGTTGATGGATTTTTGTTTTCAAAATGAAACCCATTTTTTAATTATGTCTGATTTTTAAGATGCTTGAAGAAAAAAAGTTGTAAAACAAAAAACAAAAAATTTTCATTCTTAATATAATAAAATTAGAGTTTATATTTA